TAACGCTGGAAAAATAGCCCAGCCAGACAGGCCGCTTTCCAGCCTTTTTGCATCCAAAGGCCATTTCTCCCACAGAGGCTGAGACAACCCCCCCAGGACTGCTCAGATCTGGGTTATAACCAGCGCACAACCCGATGTTGTCTCCTAACCTAGGAGGCCACTGTGGACGCTGGGCTGAGAGACGTGTGGGACGTGGCTGCCTGAGGGGGATTCTGAGGGAAGGCACCTTCCGCTCAGCTCTCACAAGTACTATCCTGAGCTGAGGAGCTTCCCTGCTCCACAACCCCAGTGCAATGTGGCCATGGTGCGATAGAGAGTCAGTCTCTGGTTCTTTCTCCTCTGCCGAGCTACTAAACATCCAAAGGACCCTCCCCCAGAGGTGAGATTTTTCTAGTACCACAGGCCAAAATGTCCCTTTTGGCTCAGCCCTCAGGTTGGCCGGTGGCCTCCAGTCATCATGTGGCTAAATTTTAGTGTCACAGACCATCCTTCAGGACAAAAGACGTTAAGAGACAAATTCAGAGTTTGTGACCCAGACTTTCCTAAGACCCCACTGAGGCAAAACTCCCCTTGGAGCAAGAACGGAGGGAGAAGACCTCGTAAGCCAACTATGGGATAATTCACAGAGCCTGGCACCTGCTCCTCTTGCATGGGAGGCCTCCAGGCGCTGTTACCTCCCTTCCATGTGCTGTGATGAAGGAGGCGGTAGGGATCCTGCCTGTAAAGTTATAACAAATATTCCAAAATGGGCAAGACGTCTTTTCTCCTACCTGTCCACTATTTGACTGAAGGTTATGGCTCAACAGTCGAGAAACAGGTCAGCCAAAGACAGAGATGAGGCAATGGAAAATTACAGTCTAAACATTAAAAGTTTGGCAAATCTATGAGAAATTGTGAAAGAGCTGTACTCACAGAAGGTTCAGAAGGGGAGCCGAGTGAGTCTGTAACAGGAAAAACTTAAAAATCAACAAATAGTATAGCGGCACCTTAAAGACTAACAGTGTTTCTATATCCTAGGAAATTTCCCAAATTCTGGGAATTTTCAAGTAAAATGTGTCAAAATGGGAAATTGGGAATTTTCTTGAAAATCTGTCAAATTCTGGGAAATTTTCAATTAAATTAAAATTTCCGTTCATTTGTCGTTCCTTTGGAATAAAAAATAGTGGATGATTCAGTTTAATCAAAACTTACTCTCTATTGGTCAATAGGGTTGCCTGTCAATTATTAAAACTCATTCAACTTGATGCTAAAAATTGTACTGGCGAAGACATTTATACAAAATTCAAGGTGTCAATGTTAAAAAAAAATCCCATTGAATAATATTTTGGCTGTTGCTTGTGATGGTGCAAATTTGAGGATAGTAGCAAATAATTCCTTTTTCTCTAAACTTAGAGAGGATGTGCTGAACATTGTTTTGCTGAGATGTATTTTCCATACATCGGCCCTGATATCAAGTTCAGCTTCTACAGTTTTGCCTGATTTCGTAGAGCAGTTTATAACAAATATCATTAACTATACAGCAGATAGTGTTAAAAAAAAGAAGAAATTGAGGAGATGATTGAATATTTTCTCCATTTAAGGTTATCCTTGTTAAAACCAAGTCAAACAAGCTGTTTAGCTGTACACTCTTGTGGAAATAAAATATTAGTATTTCTGGGATGCCCTGTTTTACTATATTCAACTTGAGTGTGTCAATCAAAAAAGTCCAAAAGCAAAAGAAATATACGATGCAATGTGTAATACAGAACTTTAAGCCAACCTACTATTTTTGAAATATGTTTTGGATTACATGAACAAATTCAATGCTCTCTTTCAAAGCAAATCTCCACTCATTCATTGCATTAAATGAGTCAGTGAAATTTTCAAAGAAACTGCAACAAATAACTTAAAACAAACAACTTAAAACCGTTTTCCCTAAAACTTGAATTAATGAAAGTTAATGTGTCCCATCCCTCTAATTTTATCAAAATTAATGAAATGTATCCTGGTCCAGAATGTAAGGAGTACTTAAAATGTATTGATCCTAGGGTAGCTATGAATGTAAGCAAAGTGATTCAGCATTTTTACATTATTTGTTATCAAGAAATGCAGCACAGGCTGCCACTTGACTCCATTGTGTTCTCAGAGGTTGGAGTTATAGATCCTAAAATTTGTCTTAATGTTGATGTAGATAAAGAAAAAAAAGAAATCTCAAAACTTTCTGCAATATTTAAAATAGATTTGAACTCTGCTCAGGGTGAACTCAGAGACTTGCCATTTTCTTTAGAATCAAATCAAACTGAATGTGTAAAGAGTAAGCCTATTGATGAAATGTGGCATGAAGTTTCTAAAAAGAAACATTTTTCTGGAAAATGTATGTTTTCAAACATTTGTAAATTAGCTCAACAGGTTTTAGCATTGCCACATTCAAATGCACAATGTGAGAGAATGTTTTCAATGATTACAGACATTAAAACTAAGAAAAGGAGTAATATGAAAACTAAAACACTGAATTCTAGTGTAATTGTCAGTTCAGCTTTTAAAGCAAAAAAAAAGTTCTAGTTTTGTAATTACAAAGAAGCATTAAGTTTACATAATAAAAATATGTCTGAATATGGATATGCCAGAGAAATTGGCAGAGTCATAAAAATATTAATGATGGTGATGACATTTCTAGTGAGGAGTCAAGTCATGACTCATCTGATGAGTAAAACTCACCATGATAGTTAACTATTATATATTAAATATTCTATTCATTTTATATGAAATGGAACTGTGTTATATTTGACGAGTTCCTTTATTTATCATATTTAACTGAAATGTGTACTGAAGTGTATACTGTACTGATTTTATCTTGGAGGAGTAAAATAATTAAAATATTTTATTAGTCTTTCATTTTATGAAATACCATCCATGAAGTAATTAAGGATATTTGGATATATGAAAAATAATTATTTTTGGATGAAAACTTCAGCTTTAATAAAATAATTTTCTTAATTATAGACAGCATTATAATATCATCAAAATTATTGATGTATATTTTGAGTTAATAATTTATATATATATATACACATATATGAAAATAATAAAACAAATGAATTAACTAAGAAAAGAAAATAATAAAACAATAAAACAAATGAATTAACTAAGAAAAGCCTTTTTCTCCAGAGATCCTCAATAGCCAGTCCATCTGTTAATTGCATTCCCCTTGTTGCATATGTGGCACGAAGTCCAGTTCTTGTCTCTTCTCCATGTTATATGGTCTGGCCTTCCCCGTAACGGAAGAATGTTCCCTTGTTGGTGTGTGGTGAGACACGGACTATAAAAGCTGGATTCTGTTTTCATTATTGATTGATTCACGGGTTTGAAGGTGAAAAGGAGCCATTAGATCATCCAATCGGACCCCCTGCAGAACACCCGCCATTGATTTACGGCAGATACCCCAGTAATGAGCTCTGTGACCAGACATGGTACTTTATCTGAGGCCTACCCAGTGTGGCCACACTCTTCCATGATAAGAATGGAGGAGCTGTGGGGGTATGGGATGGGGGTTGGCTGCAGAAGGAGCTTGGGGTAAGGGAGGGAGTTTGGGTGCAGGAGGCAGTTGTAACCTGGGGTACTGGACTAAGCTGCAGGGGATTGGCTTGTGACCTAGGACAGGGAATTGGGGAACAGGAGGGGGTGCAGGGATTTGGGTTGTGAGCTACGGCTGGAAGACAGTGTGTTGGGGAGCCGGATCTGGGAGGGGATATGGGTTCAGGAGTGCTGGACAGAGCATTTGGGTATGTGGAGTAGGGGGCAGTAGTGGGGGCCAGAGGGCTGGAGAAGGGAGGGGCTGGGGTGCCAGAGGCAGGGTCTGTCCTGGAGACTTATCAGTCACCAGCCCGTTCTGGAATCAGCTTCCCTGCCTACCCCTCCCCCTCACTGGCTGCAGCCCTGTGCTCTGGAGCCCCTTGTGCTTCCTGGCTGCCTGTTATTGAAACAGGAGCTCCCATTGGCCCGGTGTGGGTGGGAGCAACCCCCAAAATTTCCCCCACACCTCTGGACTCACTGTTCTGAAATAAAACCCGCCCTGCAGCCATGTGTCTAAGGGGTGTGTGAGCGGGACGAGGCAAGGAGTGTTAGCCACCTGAATCCAGCCCATGGTCCATATTTTGCCCTGGCCTGGTCCACAGATATTGCATGGGGGGACATTTCTCTCTTTGTTCATTTGAATGGTGTAAGTTACATTATTGTCATCTCCTCTACCGTGTACGTGTCCATTATATCGTTTTCAGGCTGCTCCACTTTGGCAACCACCCCAACTCTCAGAGCCCGTCTAAGACACCCCTTTCTATCTGCTACTCCCCCTACAGAGAGACTAGATGACCAAACCTGCGTATGTCCAGAGCGTTTTACACTCCGTCCCCTTCACTAGGAATCCAAAGGTGTCCTTGGTTTTGACCACTGTGGTGATAGAGAGGTGGGTCCATGGAGCTGCTGTCAATGATCTCAGCCCTTCTCTTTGAGGTGGGCTCTAGCTGGGATGTTTCCCTTGGCACATGTGTTAGTAAAGTTGCTTTAATTATTTTCAACTCTCCGATGCTGAGCATGTAGTTAATAGTGGACTCTCTACAGCACGGACTCCGCAGCTTGGGTTTATTGCCTTGAGGAACAACGAAGGAAAACCACTAGGCAAACCCTGATTATCTGCTGGTGCTTATGAGGGAGCTGGAATTACTGATACATGGAGCTCCAGAAAATATGATCTGGGCCTTAGTAACTTTAGCTGGTCACAATTCCTTTGTTTGATTAACAAAAATGTCATTTTCAGTGAATGAGGAGGGACCAACCTGCTTCTCCAATGAGAACATTTTGCTGTAGTGCATAGAGTGTCTCATATTGACATTGTCTCTCCATCCAGGTATATATATTGCAACTATCACCTGGGACACTGGGCACATACCGGAAGTGAGTGGAATATAAGGTATTTGTAGGAGATTCCATTCTGCTTCACCATTGGAAGCCAGCTCCCGGACTCCATGTCAGATTCTAACACAACTGACTTCACCAACCCCTCCGTCTTCATTCTATTAGGCATCCCTGGCCTGGAGGCGGCCCATGGCTGGATCTCCATCCCCTTCTGTGTCATGTACATTGTAGCCATCTTGGGGAACCTCACCATTCTGTACATCGTGAAGAAGGAGACGAGCCTCCATGAGCCCATGTACTATTTCCTCTGCATGCTGGCCGTCACTGACCTGGCCCTGTCCACGTCCATTGTGCCCAAAACACTGAGCATCTTCTGGTTCAATTCTAGAGAGATCGATTTTGGTTCTTGCTTTATCCAGCTGTACCTTGTTCACTGCCTTTTAGTGATACAGTCTGGGATGTTCGCAGCCATGGCTTTTGATCGCTACGTGGCCATCTGTAATCCCTTGAGACATTCCACCATCCTGACAAATTCCGTTGTAGCCAAGATTTGCCTGGCCGTGGTGCTGCGCGGCTTCATGATGATACTTCCCATTCCCATCATGGGGAGTCGGTGGCCGTACTGCAAAAGCAACATCATCCCCCACACGTACTGCAAGCACTTTTCTGTGGTGTCCCTGGCCTGTGCCGACACCCGCCCCACTAGTTACTACAGCCTCTGTGTGACATACCTTGTGCCCAGTGTGGATGGGTTTTTAATAGCCGTGTCCTACACCCAGATCCTCAGGGCCATCTTCCGACTGCCCACAAACGATGCTCGGCTCAAGGCATTTGGGACATGTGGGACTCATCTCTGCGCCCTCTCAGCCTTGTACATCCCAGACCTCTTTCTCTCCCTCATGCTGAGGATTGGTTCTAATGTGCCCCTGCCTGTGCTCATCCTCATGGCCAATGTTAACCTCTTGGTGCATCCTATGCTACACCCGATCATCTATGGGGTGAGGACAAAGCAAATCCGTGACAGGGTGCTGTGGATAGTGACTCAGAAAAGGGTCTAATGTTCACTCCTGGAGCTCAGACTCACCTCTGTGCTGAGCTGACGGGTGACATGATGCTGAGCCCTGTTTCCTGAATCATTTTCTGGACAGTCAGACAAATGCTGAGTCCTTTCATGACCTGACATTACATGGTCAGCATGAGAAACTGGGGGATCAGTCTAGGGATACGTCATTTAGTTGCCTCCTTTCGTATTGCTTGAAATTGTACCTCACCCTTTGGCAAAGCATTTCACCTCTAATACCATTAACTCACAAACATCCCACTCTCCCCACCTATAATATCATCAATGCACAGACACTTACCTTCCTTCCTTCCCCCCCCCCCAAACCATCTTGTTAGTCTTTAAAGTGCTACATTGTCCTGCATTCTGCTTCAGCTACCCCAGACTAACACGGCTACATTTCTATCACATTTCCACAAGCTGACTGTGAAGAAATACGTCATTCTGTTTGTTTGAAATCCTCTGCTTATTGATTGGGTGACTCCCGTTTATGTTATAGGAAGGAATAAATAATATTTCCTTGTTCCATTTTTACACAACCTTCATGACTTCATAGACCATCTCATATCCTCCCAGTCATCTCTTTTCCATGTGGAAATGACACAATCTTTTAATCTCACCTTCTGTATTTTCTGTTCCATACCCCTAATTCTTTTCATTTCACTTTTCACTAACATTTCCAATTCTACCATGCATTGGTCCATGCTGTGACACACTAAGGACAGCTGGCTCCAATAATTTGGTGGAGGGAAGACATGCCGGGGGCTGAGTGAATGGCTTACTATTTCCACAACCTAGCCTTTTTTATATCCACAAATTCATCTCTTTTTCAGGCTGAATAGACACAGACTTTTTACTCTCTCCGGGTATGTCTACACTACCCCGCTAGTTCGAACTAGTGGGGTAATGTAGGCATACCGCACTTGCAAATGAAGCCCGAGATTTAAATTTCCCGGGCTTCATTTGCATAAGCGGGGCTCCGCCATTTTTAAAACCCCGCTCGTTCGAACCCTGTGCCGCGCGGCTACAAGAGGCACGAGCTAGGTAGTTCGAACTAGGCTTCCTAGTTCGAACTACCGTTACTCCTCGTGGAATGAGGAGTAACGGTAG